TCGTATCGTTGCAGCCCTAAATTGTAATGTCTTTTACATGCAAGCATATCATTCAGTGTGATTATGCAATGTTAGGAATGAAATAAATTGTGATGTCACTAGTATTGATCGAATGTTGGTCTTTTTTTTAGTTATTTTTTTACCCTTACATTTATGGCCATTGCTATGTAAATCTAAATTGGATATAGAAATCCAAATTTAGAGATATACTTACGTGATTATTGGTCTGCCCCTGGGATCTTGAAACAAATTAGTCCAAAAGTAGAAGTCCAAATTTGGTTTTTATCATTTAATCATTCATTTTTTATTTTTTTATTTTTTTTATAAGTTCCATAGGCGGGTATTTATAACATGATAATGATCTTTATAAATTTTAATTTTTTGTCAAATGCTCTTGACCTCCATGAGAATGTATATGTTGTTATTCAAGAATACAATATTATTTTCATTAAACGCTTGTTATGAATAAATGCTGGTGTTTCTGTTTTTCATTCAGAGGTTGTTTTCAAATTGAAATGATTTAAATTGTTATGTCAGTTTCATCGAAGTTTTTATGTGCAGTTTCCGATGAATAAAGAAGATTGAACTCAATTTTCTGTAATTGCTTTAAACTTTAATTGATGTCCAAGACAAATACCATCCTCGATATCCAGGGGTTACGCTCACTTTCGCTCTCTACACCCCTGGAATATGGCATAGCAAAACAAAGGCTCAGTGTGTGCCACCTTGTTAATAAGACAAGAAGACTAGTTCGATCCTTTAATGTACATCAAAAGAATCTCGCAGTCAAGTAATGTTAAAATTGACAGGCTTTGAAGTTTGGCGTCTCTCCTTTGTAATCTTCAAAGAACGGGTATCAGCCTATCGATTGGTCAGCTGAGACCAATCAAACAGCTATGTTCGTGCCTTCAATTTTGCTATGACATATTCCAGGGGTGTAGAGAGAAAAGTGAGTGTAACCCCTTGATATTGAGGATGGACAAATACAGATTTATTTTATTAAACAATTTGGTGTTTGAAAACATAAATTACATGCTACACATACAGTATACTAGCCCAAATTTCCTCTGTGCCCGACACCAAACTTGGACATATTGACAGATAGATGTCTGGTGTTTAACTGGCCCTGACACCAGAGGTAGACATTTTGACAGATTGATGTCTTGTGTTTAACTATAGCCCGAGTTTCCTCTGGCCCTGACACTAGACGTAGACATTTTGACAGATAGATGTCTGGTGTTTAACTAGCCCGAGTTTCCTCTGGCCCTGACATCAGACTTAGACATTTTGACAGATAGATGTCTTGTGTTTAACTAGCTGGAGTTTCCTCTGGCCCTGACACCAGACTTAGACATTTTGACAGATAGATGTATGGTGTTACCAGCCGGAGTTTCCTCTAGCCCTGATACCAACCGTAGACATTTTGACAGATAGATGTCTGGTGTTAGTAGCCCGAGTTTCCTCTGGCCCCGACACCAGACGTAGACATTTTGACAGATAGATGCCTGGTGTTAGTAGCCCGAGTTTCCTCTGGCCCCGACACCAGAATTAGACATTTTGACAGATAGATGTCTGGTGTTACCAGCCGGAGTTTCCTCTAGCCCTGATACCAACCGTAGACATTTTGACAGATAGATGTCTGGTGTTTAACTAGCCCGAGTTTCCTCTGGCCCCGACACCAGACGTAGACATTTTGACAGATAGATGTCTGGTGTTTAACATTTTGACAGGAAACTTGGACTAACAATTTACCTGTCCCATCATTTTGAAATGCAGAGGTAAATACGCTTACTCTTGTATCCTCTACATTCCTGGAATATGTAATGCCCAAATCAACGTCTCTGTATATGTACCACCTTACAGATGATACAAGTAGACTAATTTGAGCCTTCGATGTACATCGAAATTGCACAGCAGTCTAACAGAAAAAAATTACTAGCTTTTAAGTTGGATGTTGCTCTTCATTTGCATACATGCTAACTCTCCCTTTTTAGGAAGGAGACCCCCAATTTTTTACCCTTAAATTTAGTCAATTCAACCAGTGAATTTGCTAAACTATTCCTATATTCTAATATCTAATGATTTCATTTGAAAGAACAACTCAAAATATGTCATTTTAAGGATTATTTTGTCTCCAGGGGGAACATACACACATTTTAGAATCCCCCCATGGAAATTTCAAGTATATATATGCCATTGTAATATTTTAAAAACATGTATTTAACCTGGCTAATTGTCAGGATTTGTTTTTTACCTGAAATCAGTCAAATAGCTACCATGTGCCTTTAATTTTGTCATGACAAAAAAATTGTATATTCCATGGGTGCAGAGAATGTAAGTGAGCATAATTCCCGGAATTTCAAGGATGCATACGATGGAATCGCTCCAGCACGATTTTCAATGCCATATTTCACTGAAGTGACGTAACCCTAACACGGTAGCATGATAATTTGCTTGGTTACATTATTCTGATAACGGGGCTAACGACAGGTGCCTACAGTAAGATACATATGTATCACTGAAGAGAAAATAATTTTGCAGATGTAACTATCCTGATAAACCCATTTACCCTTAAAGTCACATTTGAACCTTACCAAATTAAAGACTGGGCAATTGCAAGTCCAGTTACAATATTTGGGGTAAATTAGTTAATAAACCATGATTGAAACAGTAATTTGAGGGGACGTGAATGCCATACGTTGACTCATTCACCCCTGAAGACACATTGGAACTCTTCCAAATCAAAGGTTGGTATAGTTCATTATGAAATTTCAGGGGTGAATGAGTTAATAAATATCTACATAAGTAGCAATTAATATTTTAAACAAAGTTGTTATCAATGTACCGACAAATATTTTAGAAGCGGACTGTTCATAAATAAAAACAAATTGAAAGTCGGGTGGCGCAGTGGATAGCGCTCTCTCCTAGCTTTCACCAAGACGGCTGGGGCTTCATTCCCCAATTGGTCGTGAAAAGGGATTAAGTCACCTCCCTCAGGTTTTCTCCGGGTACTCCAGTTTCCTTCCACATTAAGACCTCCAGTGCACTTACATCCACGCCAAAAAGAGAGATTAATATCAGTTGAAATAACTGGTTTCATAATTGTTGTAAATAAGTTTTCAATGCTCCAGTGAATTTTCAATGACGATTGTTTCATTTTTTGGTTGACATCTTAACTCACATCACTTGTGATTACATAGAACCATAAGATCATTAATGGTCTGATTGGATTTGGAGGATGTTGGTTAAGTGAGAGCAAAATGACTGCCGAGGGTTTACGAACAGTTAAAGATAGGATCCCTGTCTCACTGCAAGTAAAACACTAGGGAATTTAACTGGTTTATCGTATACATGCACTTACCTCCCTGTAATTACATTAGGATATTAACTCATTCACCCTTGAAGACATATTTCAACTCTCCCAATTCAAAGGTTGGAATAGTTCATTATGAAATTTCAGGGGTGATCGAGTTGATTTAGCACAATCGGGTCAGGGCACTTCCATTGACCAGGAAGCTCAGTTGGTAATAATGCGACAGTTTGACAAATTGAGGTCCAGTTCTTTTTATACTTTAAAACACTGTTGCGTAAAAATCTATTTCCATTGCACAATTAGTTTTTGACATTGGCAATGGTATCCTTATATACTCCATTACGTATTTTACAGTAAGCTTGATTTTCAGTGATAAGAGAAAACATAATTGTTGGTTTGATATTTTTTTTAATTCCATTAAACTAACAATGTATACAATATTCTCATCCACAAACATCAGTCTCCAGCATGGTATTATGGCAAAATATATTCAGGCACAAAATCAAAGTGGAAAATGGGATTGATATACATTATTTACAAGGTCTTAATGTCATATACATGTATATGTAGGTATTGGGGGATCAAAATTCTGCTGTGTAGAATTTGTGTCGGAACTGAACTGCAGACGTTCTAGAGTAGAATTTCAATATCCCTTTTAATATACATAATGATTGACTGGGGTTTTTTTCTCACAAGAAGTATTATGTACGATTGCTCAAATTTAACCCTTTCAACCCTATGTAACTTTAATGAACTCGACCATGCATTGATTTGGATGAGTTCATTATAGTGTACAGTGGTGAAAGGGGTAAAGAAGTCTGCAAGACCATCATGGCAAGTTTTTGCAATAACTCTTACTTCCACGGGTAAGTATGTATACCACTTATCTACAGTAACACAACCATTGTCAAACATTAGGTTTCAACATACTTTTAATTGTGACATGAAAATTAATATATAAACATCATCTGATTTTGACGTTGTGAAAGTAAATTTCATTCAGATCATCATATTGGAAAAAAATAAAACCTTTCACCCCTTGGGGATTAGATAGTGGGATCTCAACCGGACGGGGAGATTCTTAAGCTGCACAAAAACGAGGCCTTGCTAAATGTCTGGCTTCTTAACCCTTTCAACCATATGCAACTTCAGTAAACTCTACCATGCATTGATTTGGATGAGTCCATTATGGTCTACAGTGGTGAAAGGATTAAGAATCTTCCCCAAAGGTTTGAGATTCTCCCATCTTGATTCCTTTCCTCTTACCCAATTGGTCCTGTCATGCATATGCAATAAATATACTATGTTAATGCTTTGTTGATGTTATGTCGATGCAATGTTGAAGTGGCATTTAATACATACAATTGTTTATTTCATAATATCAAACAGATCAGATTTATCCTCCTTGATCTGCTATTGTATTGATGACATGAGGTCATTGTATTGATAACATAACGTCATTGTATTAATAACATAACGTCATTGTATTGATGACATGACGTCATTGTATAATAACATAACGTCATTGTGTTGATGACATGACGTCATTGTGTTCATTGTATTGATGACATGATGTCATTGTATTCATTGTATTGATGACATGACGTCATTGTATAATAACATTACGTCATTGTGTTGATGACATGACGTCATTGTGTTCATTGTATTGATGACATGATGTCATTGTATTCATTGTATTGATGACATGACGTCATTGTATTAAGAACATAACGTCATTGTATTGATGACATGACATCATTGTATTGATGACATGACCGCAATTGCATTGTTGATGTGATTTGAACTCGTGAACAATTTTGATTTTTTGCCACACTTGTGAAATATCTTTGGTATTCAATGGGAAACCATGAACTATATCCTCGATATCTTACACAAGGTAGAAATTTATTTCGTTCACAAATGTCAAGAAAATAAATGAAATACTAACGCAAATAAATGTGATGTCTTTACAAGTTGTAAGCAAAAGCAAGCATTTCATGGCAAAAAAAAATCATTTAACTAACTGCTGCACATAAACATATTACAAAATTTCGGTTGGAGATCATAATTTCATGAATAAATGTAAAAAAAAAAACACTAGCCCTAAAACTACAGTAAATAAATGTGGTGTTTTGACAAGTAAAATGTTAGCAAAATAAAACCATTTGGTGACACAAAACATTCAACAAACTGCCTCAAAAAACTGACCTATACATTTTTTAAGGAATAGCTCTAAGTACCAGATGCAGAAATTAATTAATATGTGATCATATTAATGCTCATAACTAATAAAAAAAATCAAATACTGGGAAACTTGAGATCAGTCAGACTTTTTTAATATCCTTTCCTAATATTCCGTCATGATAAATTCACCCTTATTCCAGGGAGCTAAAAAGGCATAATTGCCAACTCTCCCTATAACTCCCGATCAACCAGTGAATTTTCTAAAGATTTCATCCGAAAACAAAGCTCATAAGATGTCATTTACAAGTGCTATCACCCTAGGGTGTACATACACACATTTCATTTATGCTTTTTATGCTTAGCACGCGCAATCTCCCCCTATGGACATTTTGTCAAGTATGAAAAGGCGAAATTTCAACTGTGGCAACAATTTCTCAGTATACATTACATACTTCATATATCATATAAATGAACAGGCCCTGTGCTTTTAAATTATGGAGAGATAATTAGATCTATCAGGTAAATACCCGAGTGTAAACATACCCCTGTATACAGGTCATTGGCAGGTTTATAATTTTGTAAAATCCTTGCTCTTTTGTCAAGGTAGGTATATGTATAAGTACATAGGGTATAGTGTTCGTGAGGCTATTGCAGAAATAAAGGGTTGGGGCAGCATTAAGGCACATTTTCGTAACCCACGCCAACACAAATTATGCCAACATCAGCAGATCTACAGTAAAATATGAATATTCAACATATGGAAAGATTATCGCAGTATTTTTCATGTGCAATATGTATCACCATGCATTGCTACATCTAAAAAAATATTGAGATTTCATGATTTTTTTTTATTAGTCTCTTTAGTAGTTCCCTCTAAGGTAAAACCATACAGTCAGAAAATATCAATTATTCAAACTGTTCTTGAATCTACATGTATATATGTTAATGGTTCAGTCCAAAATGAACAGTCTGATAAATTGTACACTACATTAATAAACAGAAAACCCGATGTCAAACTGATCCAGTTGGCAAATACTCCGGTAAGAAGAGAGTTTACTCATTTGCCCCTGAAATTTCTTAATGAACTATTCCAACCTTTGAATTGGAAGAGTTCATATGTGTCTTCAGGGGTGAATGAGTTAAAACTGGACTTCTGAGACAGCTCTATGATTCTTCATGGCCCAGGCCATCCAGTCCAACTGTGTTATCATCTTTTTGGCCCCAGACTCCATGTGATCATTGAGAGGCTTGCCATCAGAATCAAGAGAATTCTGGGCATTGGGAATTCCAAATATATTTGACACGCTGAGACAACCCAGTTCACCAGTCATCGCACGCAGCTGCATGGCTGCACGCATTCCTCCATATTGCCCTGTTGAAAGGAAGATGAGTTGAAAGCAAGGGGAGACAACAGCTATCACCATACAAAATTAATTTTATAAAGCTCTTAATAAGTGATGTATCTTCTATATCTTCGTCGATATATGGATATATATTGAGTAAATGTCAGTATCAACTTTAACTCATTCACGTCTACATGTTTAAATTGGACTTGCCCAGTCTTTGATTTGGTAAGGTTCAAATGTGACTTTAGGGGTGAATGGGTTAAATATAATAAAAGCAAACAATACCATGTGGGTATTCATCTGACAGATTTGGCAGTTTGGGTGTAATAATAAAAATTCCTTGACATACAATATATATTATTGGCCATGAATCATTGTTTTGTTTTTTTTGTGATTTGACGACATAATTCAAGGCAGAGACATAAAAATTCTGTGGTTACCTGCGGAGTACGTGACAATCCCACTTGGCTTCCGTGAATAGCAACTTCCCCCAAAGTGATCAATCATGTTAGACAGGGCTGGCGGTATACAGTGATTATACTCAGGGGAGATAATTACGAAGGCGTCTGCTTCCTTCATAATCTTCTCTTTCTCCACTAGAAATGGTGGGGCTCCCTCTCTCTCATTCCCGTAAAAGAACACTGGCTTATTCAACATAGTGAATTCATTATCTAAAGGATCTGCAAAAAATAAAAAATAAATAAGAATTTCAAATATTTATACCACATATCATATGCAAGGTTAGTCTTAAAATGGAAGAGGCCTACAGGGCCTGTTCATTTATATGGTGTAGCTATTTTTAACTCATTCACCCTTCAAGGACATATTTGAACTCTTCCAAATCAAAGGTTGGAATAGTTAATTATAACACTTCAGGGGTGAAAGAGTTAAAAGCAAAATGTTCAGGGATTAAGTCTGATAGACCTGCAAATGTTAACACCGGCCTTGAAAGTCTTTTACATATTTTCACCCTCATTGGAAATGAGGAATGAGGGAGATCTCCCTCATTGGAGGTTTCAGAGGTTGACATCCACCTATGTACATAAATGTACCTGTGTACCGTATACTGTACATAGAACAGTAATAGGGCTTACTGCTTGAAAAGCACGCTAGCATAAATATCAGACTTGCACATTTCAATCCCCCGTTGTGTGTTAAACAGTAAGAAAACATTAACTCATCCACCCCTGAAATTTCATAATGAACTATTCCAACGTTTGAACTGGAAGAGTTCAAATGTGTCATCAGGGGTGAGTGAGTTAACATTCTATATAATCACCTGGCCTTAAATAGCAACATACCAACAAAGGCCTGTGTGCATATATATTGGGGAAAATTTTCACATTCCAAATAATCACCCTGTCCCTGACTAAGCACATTTTATAGCAGGAATATTTCAGTGTTCTACAAAATAACCTGTCCTTAGCTAATCATAGCATTATCAACAAAGCTCTGTGTTTTATACAGAAGTAAGATTTGGACGTTCTACATACTCACCCAGTCTTGTAAGCTACCTATCAACAAAGCCCTGTGTTTTATACAGTAACACTTGGAATTCTACATACTCACCCAGTGTTGTTAGCTTCCTATCAACAAAGCCCTGTGTTTTATACAGAA